GCTTTCAAGGCATTGCTGGGAACAAATTCCTGCTGTTCCTGCCATCCATCAACCATATCAGGTGGACTATAGATCATCCCAGTAGTAAGTATTCTACAGGGCGGAATTATGGAATATGACTTTTCGGAACGCATGTAGGAAATAATATCGTCATTGGAATGTAGTAGTATCTTTTGACACACAACTGTAAGATACAGCACTAGATTTCAACCAGTGCCAGGTCGAGTCTCGCTCTCGAGGGCCTTTTCTCTAATTTATCTTCATATTCGCCTCAGCCTCGTGAACGCCCTTTCAATCTAAGCCTTTATCGCACGGTCTACTGCCATTGCCACAGCCAACAGCTCTTCTTCACATAGACTCCTGCCGACAAGTTGAAGGGAGATCGGGGCACCATCGAACAGGGCAGGGTCGTAAAGATCATAGGTCTCCTGGTCCAATTCGTTGACGGGCTGGTAGGTGGTGTCTTTTACATCGCTAAGTTGGACGTGCGACACGGGCAGGATGACCGAGGGGTAGTCGAGGAGGTTCCATTGCGCAAGATAACCCCACCACCTGGGTTACAATTGAGTTAGAATAGTACACGTAATACTAAGTAAACAAGAAAAGGGGAAAGGAGATCTCACGGTAAGTAATCGTGGGGAAACGACGCCGAAGCCATTGACGGTGTGAGGAGAGCGTCGATCGGTTTTCCGGTGGATGTCTGGCTCGAAGTCGCTCTCCAGTGATTGAGATACTCTATTTGGTATTGTCGTTGCTCCCTGCATTGACGGGTTACTTAGTCCTGATTGATTGTTAGGTGGAGAGGAGCATTACGTGGCACATTGCAACAACTCTTCAACCGTCAGCTGGCGGGCTCGTGCCAGAAACTTGGCCACCGAAGGAATGGGCTCTTCTCCCGCCCGAGCTAGTGTGGCTTTGATCTCTTTGCCTCCCGTGGGATAGTATTGCTTGAACTAAACGTGGGATGGAGAGGTCAGCTCTGGCATTGACGTTTTGACAAATGAGATGTATATATGCCTTACAGCCAGATCCCAGGCATCTTTGTGCTTGTATGGTTTGAACACGATGACTGCGGGAAAATGAGCGTCAGCTTGGGGCAAAATGGGAAACGAGAAAAATTCCCACCTTCATGTCCTGCCTGTTTAAGCTTGTCCACGGCCATCTTTAAAGCCCGCTGGACAGGAGGGTGTGGCATGACAACCTCGTCCCAAAACATAACGCCTATCGTTGCCTTCGCTGGGACAGGGACGTCGGTTGTCCACTTCTTTGTCATGACCACGGGGTCATAAAGCCATGGCTCGTGGTTATTCCATACGCGCAACATCATCTCAATGTCTCGAAGACTCCGTCCCACGGGCCCAATGCTTGACAGAATGGCTGTCTGACCGGTGAAGGGGGCGTTCCCAAGATAACTGAATCGTCGGGAGGTTGGTCGGATACCATAGAGGCCATTGAACGAGGCTGGCGCACGAATGGAGCCTCCAATGTCTGTGGCCACGCCAATCGGGGCTCCCAAGCAGCCATTGAGGGCTCCTTCGCCACCAGAAGAGCCGCCAGAGACGAGGTCAGTGTTGAAAGGGTTCAGTGTGCGCCCGTAGAGGTTTGTCGTGGTTTCCAGAGCCTGACGGATACCAGTGAATCGGGTGTTCATTGACAACTTCAAGTTTGAACCTACCATTCCAGTCTGAGGCATGGTCGTCTTACAATAGATGACCGCACCAGCCGCACGCAGGGTTTGGACAACAACAGCATCATGGTCCGAGACCTCGTCGGCCAACGCCACCATGCCCAATGTATACTTCATGCCTTTGACGTGGGTGAGGTCCTACCAAGAGCATATTAGGTGCCTACCATCAAGTGTTTCTTCGTCGCCTTACCTTCAAGCTCACGGGCAACCCATGCAACGGACCGACCAACTCCCCTTTGGTGGCTAGATGTTCATCCAGTTCCTTGGCCCGTTGAATGGCGCCTGAAAAATCAATGTCCATCAGACAATTGATCAGTTGTTGGGCGACGGCCGCGCGTTTGCAAAAGGCCACCGTCACCTCGACGGCCGACCACGTCCGCGAGTGGAGTTTCTCCAAGAGCGTCACGGCGTCTTCGACCTCGGTGATGGCGAGTTCGTGGGACGTGAGGACACCACATGTCTTGAACAACGGCATGATGTTGCGTGGCTTCCCGCCCGACAAGAAATCCTTGGGAAGGAGCCATTCGGGCGGGATTTTGGCCTTGAGGGCTGCTTGGTAGGCCTTGCCGCAAGTCAGCAGGTCTACATTTCATATGCGGCGGGTGTCTGCCCACCGCTGCCGTCTTCTGCCACGTCGCTGTCATGGTGCTAGCAGGTAGGAACAAACTATAGTACTACTAAGTACTAGTATAGCCAGTTCAACAGGCAAGTCAACAGGAACCGAAAGGGAGCAGAATACTAGTAAAGTACTTGGATATCCAGAAGCAGTATAATACTATCTCGTATATAAGTAAGTGCTAAACTGCGTGACCAGGCTACCAAGTGTAGGACATCTCCTTGTACCTCGTACGTCGTACTTTATCGGGCAATCGCCGGACAAGTAATTTGGAGTATGACATGATTCCCCGAACCTCTCGACCCACCTGCGCCCAAAGTAATGTATGTAGTGTGTCGCTGTGTCATGGCGAGTGCATACGACTTGGTAGTGTCTACTGATCCCCACGTCCCTTTCTCCTCTCAAAGACTCACTCACTTGCTGGGAATAGTGAGTGCTGGGTGGATACTCGCGCATGTCCCAAGACGGCAGTCTACAAACAACATTAGTCAGCAGCACTTTGATAGATAAAAGCACATCCGTTCTCCCTCTCTCATAAAGCAGCAGCACCTAACAGCCAAATGGAGTGAGGTGAAGTGAAGGTCACGTGAAATAATTGCACCGAACCCGCAGTCAGTTGCCGTGAGATGGAAACATCAGTCAGCATCTTGCCATTTCATGCATCCGAGGCTTCTAGACTTCATCCCGCTGACTACAAGTTCTACATACATAATGGCGGTGGTCAAGCACACACAGGTCTGTGCTCCCCGTTGTATTTCTGTGCGTCTCTTACAACATCTTCTCTCCTGATGGCCGCAGAGAAGAAGCCGCTTCCACGCTTCCACTTTGTCGACGAAAATGACCCCGAGAAGCGTCACAAGTCCAGGGCGCATCTCGCAAGGGAGTTGCACCGGATGAAGCGTCAGCACAGAAAGGTCCATCTCTCAAATCTCGCCGTTTCCCACACAGATCTGCGCTTCGACCAATTCAAATGGCCCATCGATGTCGCGCTCAGGGCTGCCTGTCCACCGACCGTCCATCTCCCCCTCCATCTTCTCCAAACGGCCTCGGACAGATGTCTCTTCCATCACTGTAAGTACTCAGTACTACTTATACCTCAGCGCTCGTCGTTAAATCCGTCCAGATACCACGGTGATGCCGGAGCTGTACAGAGCACGCTGGAAACACATGGGCGACGCAAATGCCGTGAGAGACCTGTTCCAGCTCTACTCCCGTGACGAGGTGTCTTTCCGGGCCATGTTGTTCGATGCAGCAACTCATCGGTCGGCCCTGCAGGGGATACACGCTCCGTTGGAATACGAAAACCAGCTTCTGCGAAGTGTCAGGTCCAACCTACACACTCCCAGCACGGGTGTCATTCTTGGCACGGCCCTTCTCGGCAGTCTCAAGTGTATGGAAGGGGCTGACGGTGCCTCACACTGGCTGGCGTTCAGGGAGATGATATCGTTACACGGTGGCCTGTCTTCATTTGTGGGCGACTATCTCATGTTCACAAAGCTCGTCTGGACCTTCGTTGCCCTGCCCGGACCTCTGACGGGGTTCGACTTCGCTCCAGATCCAGAGGCCGGACTAAGGGACCTCAATGACCTGCTTCGAAGTCGTCAGAAAGCCCTGGTGGATCTTTTACCCACCTCCGAGGCAGACATGGATCGCTTGACCGACTTGAAAAGGATCAAGGCGTTTCAAGCCTCGACCATGAAGAAGCTGCTTCAGACACCAACCTCGGAGCATCCAACAGAACGCAATTGCCGTCTAGCAGTCATTTTGTTCCTCACATCGGCACTCATGCAGCACGGAGATTTTGACCCGGCGACTGATTCGTGCATCGATGCCATCAGCCAGCACCTCGAAGAAGCCCGCGACGACGCGTCGATATCGCCTGTCCACCTGATGTGGTTCCTGGTCCGGCTGAGTGTCTCGGCCTCGATTGGCGAGAGGTACGCCCAGGTCTGGATCGGGATCGTACGCATGTTGGCGGCGTTTCACCGACTGGCGCCCCCAGTGCAGGATAATGCCGAGAGACTTCTTTTCACGTCGCTGGAGATGCCCGAGATGGTTGACCGCCATATACACTCCGGATGGGGACTAGATGCGGAATTGAAGATCGATGCAGACCCAATGCGCCGTTGGGTAGTGCACGGTCGCTCCGTCCCCGCAGAGTGCTTTTGCGAGCTCCTCTGGTTCACGGCGCCTCCGGATGGATAGGTTAATCATCCGGTGATTTGTCGCTCGCTCGCTCTAAATTATTCGCATATGCTGGACGAATAAGACATGGTGTAGCACATTCATGGCTTTTTTATACATACAGAGACACACACATATAGATACATAGTGTATATATATATATGTAAATGTCAATGCATATATATCTACTCTCTAATTAAAGAAACACAGCATCATAATTGAATGAAATTTCCTTCTTTCGCTCCAATCGAACACACACGCACGAGCACAAGCGCAAGGACGGTTAGATAACGAAGGACTGAGACTGAGACCGAGTCAAGAAGTCCGTACATGATCCATTTCGTTGTGGCAGTGACTTGTGACGCATGCCCGTGAGTCTCGGACGAACAGGTGTTGAGTTCCACTGGACGTATGAGGCATGATACATACAACAGTCCGCGTGTGAACGAACGACCCATCAGGCCTTACAAGCAAGCCAGCTAGCCAGCCAACAGGCCAGACCCGACGGTCCGTTTACACCGTCAACCCCCACCGGGGAGCGTTGATGATGATGCCCATCAGACAACCCGAGATGATACCGGTGAGGGGCAACTAAGGACACATATGATTGTTAGTACATGTCGACTATCCAAAGAGCATTGCGGGTGGAGGGATTTTCCCTTTCTCCCACAAAGAAAAAGAAAGGGGGAACGGAGGGGGGGACGTACGGTAATGACCCAACCGCCGTAGATCCAGAGGACCATGCGCCAGTTGATGGTTCGCCAGGTTCCGGCGCAGAGGCCGACGCCGACGGTGGCGCCGGTGATGCACTGGGTGGTGGAGACGGGGAGTTCTGTGTGTGAGGGGGAAAAAAAGAGTTAGTCATTGAGCCAAGAATGTAGACGAGTGAAAAGGTAGGAGGAATGGATAGAAGGGAAAGGGCAGTAGGGACACGTACTCAGTCGGGTGGCCATGATGACGGTGACGGCGGCGCCCAGTTCCATGCAGAACCCGCGCGACGGAGAGTGCAGGGTGATGCGGTTACCCAGGTTGCGCATGATGTTGTACCCATAGGTCCACAGACCGATTACGATAGCCGCACCGCCAAAGACCAGGATCCAGTACGGCACGGGGACCTTGCTGCCCAGCTCGTTGGTCCGCCAGATCTGGTAGATGGTGCTGTAGGGTCCGATGGCGTTGGAGACGTCGTTGGCGCCGTGGGTGAAGGAGGCGGCCGAGGCTGTCAGCACCTGCAGGAACGAATAGAGGTACTCGGCCTTGTTGTCGTAGTGCTCGACATAGGCGTGGGTGGCCTCGATGTCGCCGCTGAGGATGCTGGCCTTCTTCTGCTGGGCGATAATGTCTTGCTCCACGCCGCGGAAGAAGACGCGCTTAAATTGCCAGAACAGGACGGCGGGAGAAAAGGCAGCTCCTTCGGGTCGGGGGCCGATGATCTGGGGCATATCTGGGTTCTTTTCGGGGACGTGGCTCTCCTCCGAAGATGCCTTCCCGTTCTCGCTGACGGGCACACCCTTCTCCGAACCGTGCACCAGTTGTTCTTCGTCTTTGGGATGAGCGTGGGCTTGTGCCTCGCGGTACGCCTTCAACTCGTCCATGGTCTTGTGTCCGCGGTAGTAATCCCTGACTGCCTGATATCCCTCCGGCGCCGGGGCGGGGTCCGGTCGCCGGAGGAGAAGGGGTCCTAGGAAAACGTGGTACCATTGGAGCTCCCAGTCGTCCTTGAGCAAGACACGATAGAGCCAGGGGCAGAAAAACACGGCTACCAACAGGGCGACCGCAGCACCAACCCCGAAGATCACACCGATAGTCTCGGGGTCACTGAGATGGATACGCGTGGAACCGCCCTTCCAGACGATAAGCACTAGAAAGGATCAAGGTCAGAACACGCAAGGTTCCGAAGCCGTACCGTCCCCAGGAAGACTTACTGGTGATGAGGCCGGACGTGATACCAAAGTAGATGGGGATTGAAACCAGCGCCTTCATGAGAGGGTTCTGGCGGAGCATGACCAAATATTTGGTGATGAGGAAAGTGATGGCCGCAAAAGCCCCAGAGCAGAACGGGGCGATGATCCAGGCCAAAAAGACCGAAACAACTCCCGAGTTGACATCTCCACCCCACCAGGTGATATCGCTCGCGCCAACAGAGGCAATACCCATGCCAATAACACCACCCATGATTGACTATTGTCTCGGTAGATCGGTGCGTTAGCCAACTCCCCTGAACAGAGCATCGAATGGAAGTGGTACACAGAGAACGTAGAGCGGAAGCGAACGAAGCTTACATGAGTCGTCGAAACAGGCAAACCAAGCTTAGTCGCAATCGTGAGGTAGACGGATGAGCCGATGACGGCGCACGTCATGCCCAACATGAGCATGGTGGGGGTGCCCTCGAACAAGTCTGGGTCAACAATCTTGGTTCGGATGGTGTCTGCCACGCGGGCTCCGACGGCGACACTGTTAATCATGTATAAGTTCCCGATATCCAGCGTGGGGAAGCATTCCAGGGATCTTCCGTACCTGCCAGCAAACTCCATGACTGAGGCAATGGCCATAGCTTGGAGGTAAGTCAGGGATCGGGACGACACCGACGTCGCAAACGAGTTGGCGACATCGTTGGCACCAATGTTCCACGCGTCGAGGAAAGCAAAGATGGTGCCAATGGCAAAAATGTAATCGAACTGGTGGAGAACCATCCTGTTCTAGAACCTGTTTCTCTCCAAGGTCGAATTGGCGGTGTCCAAGTTTGTGGGAGTCGAAAGAGAGCGAGGAAAGGGCGGAGTGTCAGTCTTTTTATCATTGAACTCACTTAGAGATCTGCTCGTCGCAGCAGAAGAAAGCTACCACAAGGTAACAATGACTGACCCTTGAGAGCCCGCATTTTATTCGCCAAGGTCCCTCTGGACCACAGTGCCAAGGGGATAAGGCCACGCTGGGAGTCGTATAGGCACCTAACGAGCAAGCGTCGTGATGCCCGTGGGAAGGAGTAGCCTCCCTGGAACTCTGATAGAGGCGTAAATGCCAAGGAATCCCGCCGCCAAGAAAATGGGTGGGGCGGAACAGGGCTCTTGGCAAAGCCTTGGAATGGCCTCGTGGAGAGCCAATTGTAAGCCCCATGTCCAGAACGTGCTCAACGTGCGGATATAAAAATGGGTTGATCTGAGAAAAGTATACGTCCCCTGATACCAGATGTGCGCAGACAACCCAGCTTTGCCGAGCACCAGCCTGGCGAATTTCTCTGCTTCCAAGCCTTCGGGTGCGGGCGGAAAGTCTCCCCCCTCAATCGGATACATTGATGGTTTCTGGGCCGTAAAATTCGACTCTTGTGTCCGGACAGGATAATCTCGATTCAAATACGAGAGCCAGTCGCCTTTGAATGTCGTCGGCACGTTGAAAGAATCTCGTCATTGAGTAGCGACTAGGATCGGTCTGGAGTCAAGCTATGCTGCCGAGTCCCGGTTATTTCCAAGCACGCTTGACCAACCAAGCCACCTCTTGATGATTTGGACAAGGAGACCACTCTGACTTGCTCAAATCACAGCACTTGAAGCATGGGCAATGATGTGCGAACCCCGTCTGTGGTAGTCTGTAAAATACTCTTCCGCCTCGTGGTATGATGGTGAGTTTGTCAGTCACCTGCTGTTTCCTATGGATTTTCAGTCACAAATGCCACATTCTGACGTTTATGAGCTTTCATCCGAAGGGCAATATCTGACAACATGATCCAGCAACAGTGGCAAACACCTTTTTATTGATCTTGTGCTGTGGTGTTCTCATGAAGACAGGTCCTTGATACGGAAGGTGACAGAGCAAGGCGCTTCAAGGCATTGACTTCTTCCTGTAACTGTTTGATGTATTGCACGGCGATCTCGACGGTCTCGGCTTTACCGCCACGTTGATTGCCCGACGAGTTTGAGGTCGAGGGCTTTTGTGGAAGTAGCATGACAAGCTCTTGCATTGCGAGCGCTAGACGATCTCTACGGTTCTTTTCAGCTCTCTTGTGAGAGTTGCGCGTCGAGTTTGCTGCTGCCGTGAGATCTGTTCGGTAATGGAGACCAAGTTGAGCCGCCTGCCCTTGCTTGATGCAGTCGTAGTTTGATCTCAGTGTCAGCGGGTGTGACGGTGACTGCCCCAAAGCCCCTACTCAAGCTGGTTAGACATTGTTGTCCGGATCCTTTGGAGAATCGTCAATTTGATACAAACCCAGTGTGGCAACTCCAAGCGTGACCGGCTGGGGGTTCCGTTGCTCGTCAGCAATTGAGATTTTGGGAAGTATATCAGTCGTCGGGAGTCGACGTTTGCAGTTCGATGCCATATCTCTGACGAGGACGGTCCACGTTTTCTCATCTCGCTGTTTCGAATTTCGACCAGGAAAGAAGCTGAGATTCTGCCATGAACATTGACTTGGAGGAAATTCTCTGGGCCACGGCAATCTCAAAACAATCGACGACCTCTGCGACGGGCGTCAAGTAGCCAGGGCCAAGGAAGTCCAGGAGTAACTCCAGGTCGTCGCTAAGACACCCGACCTCGCATCGCGCATGTTCAGAATTCTTGGAAGTTGTCATGAGCCTAGAACTCTGCGCATTGTTCTGGAAGGCTGAGGTTGCAGCGAATGTGGTCTGCCCTAAACGTTGAGTTGACCCATGTTTCTTCTGGTGTGATCGTGGGCCCAGAATCATCCCGTCCTCCATGGCAGCCAGGACTCTGCCAATTCCAGCTTGGCAGTATTTCCCTCGTGACAATCTCTTCTTGATCTCCGTTGAAGCTTTCCACTAGAAACAAGACATCTGTGCAATAAATCTTGATGGATCTGGAACGTGAAAATCATTCGCGCACTGATTGGCGGAAGAGATCCTGTGGTCAAGAGCCTGGTTGACCCGATCTTCGACGCCGATGTGGCCTTCCTCTATGCAATGCATTTGCAGTACCAACCACCGAGCCGTTCACAGAAAGACACGTTAAACCATCGCCATTGTGGCAATAACGCGACCAGCACACCCTCCAAGGAGGGTTGGCTTTCGCTTCAGTGAACGGACCAATTTTGCCGTCGAGAGGCACCATGATGGAACAAGCTTTGGTAGGAGGTTGGAGAAGTCGCATTGCCAAAAGGGTCGCCCGCCAGAGTCTGGTCCAGTGGCCGCGGCAATCAGGCCACGAGTCAGATAGATTCCAGTTACATACCTAGACCTACGGCTCATCTCGGCTTTTTTCACTGGCCCCCACGGCCCGGTCTCTTGTCCAAGGAGTGCTCAGTCAAAAGCTAAAGTGGTCTTTGCTCACCCATAACTGGGCTCCTTAATTTTCTTTCTTATTCCAAGTAATTTGAGTGCCTTGTAGATGGTACAGGTGGTGAAATGACGTCTTGTTCATACCTGACTAGGAAGAGACCTCCATCTTAGGCTCGGTTCGAACCGATCTCAACCAACCCGAGGCTCCGTCGACCATGGTATTACTCTAGGTATATCCGGCAACTTTCCCCAGCACTTTGGGGGCTGGGAGTTTTTGTCTTTCATCCATCCTTTTGTCTTGTCTCGCGGGTGAGGAGAATAGCCCTGCCGAGAGCCGTACAGGATTGATTGTCTATCGGTGTTGACAGACGATGGCGACGGATTCGATCTGCCCGGGCACTCGACAGATGGAGCGAATGGAGGACTCTCGACGAGACAAGGGAGTCCAGTCTACTCGTTCCACAGCACGGGCAGGTCACGGAGCTCGAGAGCTCGGTGAATAGGAACGCCGCAGCGGCGTAGTCAAAGGATGAACATCTCGACAGAGACACCTTTGTCGGTTCACTCGTTCAACGATGAGTTGGTGCCGGTTCAGGGGAGAGGACTTGTCAAGCAATGGTTTTCTTGTGACCTCTCTGGCAACAAGCTGCGATGTAGAAAGTATATCCGAGTTGCTGCACGGCTATACTGAGAAGTAAGGCTGCAGACAGTTGGCTGATCATGACTGATGGTTGCCCGTCGAGCGAGTCATTCATTCATTTGATTGGTGGCCCCAATTTAGCACAAAGTCGGAGCGCCTCAGCCTGATACAGACCACGGCAACCCCATAGAGCATCCATCGCATTGTGAGTCATCGTGGGGTCCTCTGACTCTCCTGTCGTTGTCATTGATATAGCCGAGCTGTGCGCCGTCGCAATTGCGGAGATGATGGAAGTGTCAAAAGGGGCTTCAGCCTCGCGGCGGACGGGATCCGACTTCACCTCTGCATCAAGCGTGTTCGACCAAGACTCGGATCATGCGTCGCAGAGCCCAGACAATCCATTCGAAAACGTTCGCCTCGGTCCTAACTACCAGATCGTCAGGTTCATTCGAAGCGAGAGCCACGGAGATCTGTACCTGCTCGCGGCCCTCGATTCCAGCGACAAGAAATACGTGGCCAAGGCCATCGACTTTAGGGACTGTACGTCAAAGTTGCGTAGACACCGACTGAAGCATCTCAAGAGGCTGAAAGCGTCGTCGTCCTTTATATGTGTGTTTGAAGAGCATGGCGTGATATGGGTGGTCCGCCACTGTAACGAGCCAGAGGTTGTCGGCAGTGGCATTGCATCCCGGCAACGAGCCATAGAGGCGAAAAGATCAGGACCCGGTGGTGTTATCTCCTTGCAGCTGGACCCGGAAAGTGACACCCTTTCCACAGGAATTGAGACAGCTAGTGTCAGTTCGACCAGCGGGCTGAGGGGTCAAGGTTGCCTGACCGACACTAATCTCCTGCATGACGGGAACTGCACCAACGGCACCTTTCCAGAGTCGACCGTGACGACAGTCGGGTCAAGCCCCATACTCGATGAAGACGATCACCCGGTGAATGACGAGGCACAGAATCGCGACCACATTGGAAGCATAGGAAATGTATCACCGACTCATTCTGGAGATTTGTTCGAAGAAGCCGAAGTGTCTTCCGATGCCCTCATCGGAAGACAAGACAAGGCAGAAATCAGGAAACAAGCAGGAAAGGCTCGGTGGAGGAAGATCCAAAGGTACCGGCGTCAACTCCATACATTGTCCTTACCACCCACGGCTACTTTCCTACCACGAAAAGTCCCGGTCCAGCTGTTGATACCCGGGCCGGCTGTCGATGTTTTGGATGGTGGCAAACAAGGAGGAGACGAACGGCCAGCGAACCCCCTTGGTCGTGTCTGTAAGGGATACAAGTCTGGCGGAGCCTGCCTGACCTATTCGTTCTTCTACACGGCCCCGGAAGATGCCCATCCCCACAGTTACTTATTGCTGTGGGACGAGAGCCATTCCGCTATGAATCTGGTTCGTCTTTCTGTGGGAATCCAGAAGTGTACGATTTGCAAACTACTCAAGGAGGAAGTGGACAAGATCTTCTGGATAGAGAAGATGTTGGTGTCGAGGGTGGACTTCGACCTCGGGTAGCCGTGAGAATGATTACTGTTTTTGGTTCCTGGGATCTGGAACATTGCATGGATCTGAAGTCTGCTAGGAATTTGTTTGTTGTTATAAAGGCCATGCCTTAAACCGCCCGGAGAATTTGGAGTCTATGGCGACGTCTAGTAGTGGCGAGGGACAACGAATATCACACCCGAAACATTTCCCGGGAATGTTCAACTTGAGGTCATCGTTTACATAAAATTGCCATTTTCCATTTTCCAAATCTGTCAACCTATAGCACCTTCCATCGTCTCATGCCTCGTCAGACAATCAACGCTATATGAGAAACAGACAAAGTAATACTGTGACGTAAGAACTGACGTAAAGCAAGGCTCCAAATAAAAGAAAGAAAAAAGACAATTTTGTTATCCGTGACCATTGAAAAAAAGAAAGAGAAAAGCAATGATTATCCGTAATGATGGTGATGATCGCAAACCACGTCGGTGATCCACACCTCGAAGGAGATCCGTGCCCACACACTCGAATGAAACCATGGTCCGTTTCCAACAACCTACACCTGCTACTTCCTCGGTGTGCTTTATCGACTGCTGCGGCACGTCTTATGGTGTCGTATGAGATGGTCCTTCCGTCTGTACCACTTCCCGCACGCACATCTGAATGTGTCTTGGGTCTGTGCTTGAGCGGCATGAGCCGTCCTCAGATGACGTTGGAGTGTCCGTGCATCGTTCTTCAGGAAGACCCCACAGCCTTGAAGGTTACACCTTTGGGTCTTGTGTTTTTCAACATGGTCCCTGCAGTCCATCAGAGACGAAAGCGTCATTGTTGTAGAGTTTTCATGCTCACCGGAAACGTCGAGCCTGGAGTGGGCTCGAGCCATAGCATTGGTTACAATGCGGACATCTAAGAACCGAGGGTGTACTCAGGCTCACTGGTGGAATGGCCAGTGGACTGCCTTCGGCTCTTCTGAACTCGGGCAACGGCAGACCGGAGGAGATATCCATTGCTAGCTCGGCAGGCCCGGGACGACACGTCAATGAAATTTGAGAGTCTCTTCCGCTTTTGCTAGGCTGGGCTTGTAAAGCAGAGGGTGAGGCGTCTCTGTTTCCGTTGTTGGACATGTTGGAGGAGGGTGTTGCTGTGGGTTCGTTCCAAGAATAGGACGGGGAGTCGTTGCGATCAAGCAGTGCTGAATCAGGCAGGTCACAAAGACAGGAAATTCCAGGAGTGCCTTGGCAAGTCATGCAAGGATCGTTGGCCAAAAACTTCTGATCGATGAACTCGTCGAACATCTTGGAGAATTCATCATCGTCGTGGCCTGGGTTGGGACGAGAGTTGGAGAGCGTCGAAAGGAAGGTAAAGGTTGCTGGTAAAGGGGCGTCACCGAGGGGTTCAACTGTATCGCCTCGCAGAGCATGACGTTCCTGACGTGGTTCGCGAACGCCGTCAATTAGTCGGTAATCATAGTGATTGTTGCGGATGACGGTTGCGCGAAGACGTACAGTCTCCGCGCAACGCCGTCACCCTGGTGGATTGGAAGGACTCCTGGTGCACGGAAATGTCAGTACGAGACCTCAGCTGTGCGAGGAAGGAGATTAGAATGCCTTCGAGTCTGGACTTGACGCCCACGATGAATAAGTTCTTTGTGCTGTCAAGTGTCGATGAATATTCAGAGGTTGAAGACGAGGGTCAAACGCGATGAGCGCTGGGAAGGACGGGGAATTTGAACCAGCTGCGCCCAAAGTCGAGACACTGCGCACAGCCTAATCACACCTCCATCTGTGACCAGCCATGCCAGCCAGATCTCCTGGGGCCTTTACCCCAGACCAATCAATCTAGCGTCGCCTCTTATCCTCAAACCTCATCAATACACTGACCCACCTTCGCTACGTGGGCCAGCATCGAGATCCAATCGTCCATCCAGACCTTCATGCATAGGGTTGAAGAGCCGTAGTCAAGGACGAGAACGAGGCCAGACAATCGGACTAGTTGGGGCCACCAATGAAATCCGACAAGTGCGGCATCTGAATCCACATGAGGCTGAAGTATGCACATCGCAGTATGTGCCAGTGTCGCGATGTGTCTGACCACTATGAAGGACAGGCTTCTCTACTAAAGATAGGTGGATTGCGAAATTACCGACCAGTCTGGCCTAGGACATTGGGCAATGACCTCCTCCATCTTCCACTGGGAACAACTCCAAGGATGGAGAAAGAGAAGGATACTCTTGCGAAAGGGTTTTCCCAGCCCTCCTCGGCCCCGCGCCGAGCGCGTTTAGTGGAGGTATGCATCGGTTGACGCAGGCTGACATCTCACCTGCACTGAGGCCGACGATACACACCATAGAATGTGACCAGGGGCGGCAGAGCAATGGAATGGATGAGGCCACTGTCGATATCCAAAGGTTGACTACCACCTTGTGTGAACGTCTGATCCTACGCCATTCCGTTGGTCGTGGCCCGGCGCAACCGACCACGAGGGGGCGAGAGAAAGTTTCAGGGCGCAATGGGGATGGCCGTAGTACCATATACTGTCGGTGGGAAAGCAGTATATAAGACGGGGGGTCTTTCCTGACCCATCGACTGACGGATAGGAAAAAGAGGTCGAATGCTTTCCCCAGTGCGATAATCCGAGCCTCTTCCATTGCCAGAGAGACCTCTTCTTCACCCCTGCACACTGCTCTTTTCATATCCAGCTAACTCCATGAGCCACGCAAAGACGACACGGAGCGCGACCTCCCTGGAGGGGCTGACTTTCCAGAACACCACACGAGCCAGAGTCGACGCGGTCAAAGAGACGACACCGCCGGGCCTCTCGCCAATGCAACGATTCATGGCCGAGGACATCCAAGTTCAGCCGTGGAACGGCCTGAGTTCTGGCCTCGCTCACCATGTCACCCCACATAAGAAGAGAAGCCATGTGAGCAGCACACGGAGAAAGTGGCCCGTCCTCGCAAATCCATCGTCAACAGATGGCTCGGTGTCGAGAGTTGATGCAGTAGCCTCCGAGCTCGCTGTATCTCAACCTCCCAGCGGTCAAACAACCGGCCGCTCCCGAGTAGAACACCAGGAGAAGCCCCAGATCGCACAGGACCTGAAGTACGTCGGTCAGATCTTTGCGGAAGACAGAGTGGGAAAAAGAGACAGCGGGCCCACATGAGCAAGGGAATCAATCTGGTAGCTTGACAAGCAAACCATCCGCGATGGATGAGAGTGGCGTCGGGCAATGGGTACAGGTCTATTCAGGTCAACGCTTTGATCCATGACTGACTCTTTGCCCAACAAGCTTCAAACTTTCGTCCTAAGTACCCCTTTTTGTTCACACAAGGTTGAACAATCCCAAACACCCATGCAGCAGTACTCGAAACTGGAAGACCATTGACCTGTCAACCTAAAAATGAAAATTCCCCTGGCTGGAAAAGAGCTGACCGTCAATGCCACCTCTTTGCAAACACAGACCCATGTCGCATGTCTCTAGTGAGCGTCATTACTCCGTGACTCGTTAGTATTTGATACATCGCACCCTCAATGCGGTTCATACCCCTCTTATGCGGCGAGTCCACTCCATCAATAGAGTCCAATTTAATTGTCCACACCAATGTGAACATTCTTCTCACCCTCTGGAAGGACCTGCTTCTCTTTCTCTCCCTTTAAGTTCGGAAGTTCCACCACTGCCTCCGCAATGATGGCCAAAGCACGCTTGATCTCATCTTCTGTAATGACTAGCGGCGGAGCAAGACGAATGATGTTCTGGTGCGTGGGTTTTGCCTGTCGTGCACGGTTAGAACTGCTATGACCTAGAGAAGTGGAAAACTCACCAATAATCCCTTCTCCTTCATCAACATACACAGATCCCACGCACTGTGTCCGTTTGTCTTTTCCTCATCAATGACAATCGCGTTCAGCAGCCCCTTACCCCTGACTGTTTTGATCAAATCCGAATTCAGGTCCCTCAATCCATCGCGGAAAACATGTCCGAGCTTCTCTGCCCGTTCAGTCATCTTCTCTTCACGGACGACCTCAAGGGCACGGATCGCGACGGCACAACCAAGCGGGTTGCCGCCGTACGTGGACCCGTGTGTACCGGGTTCGATGGTGAGCATTACGTCTTTGCGGCCGAGGACGCAGGAGACGGGATACATTCCGCCAGAGATGGCTTTACCCAACAGAACAAGGTCTGGTTTTATTCCAGCCCATTCGTGGCAAAGAAGTTTCCCCGTTCGCGCGATACCTGTTTGAATCTCGTCGCAAATGAGCAGCACGTTATATTGATCGCACAGTGCGCGAAGCTCCGCCAGATAGCTGTCGTCAGGAACCACAATACCGGCTTCCCCCTGGATCGGTTCAACGAGGAACCCGGCAATCTTGTCGCCGTGGGATTCGAATGCGGCACGGACAGCCGGGATGTGATTGTATGGAATAACTTTGCCCGTGGCTGGAGAGATGCTACCGACGCCGGGTAGGTAGGGACCATAGTTGTCGCGGGATTCAGGGTCAGTGGACATGGAGATGGCAGAGAACGTCCGTCCATGGAAATTTTCCCCCACACTGAGCACGATTGCCTCGTCATGTGGTATGCCTTTGGATTTATATCCCCATTTCCTGGCGATCTTGACTGCTGTTTCCACGGCCTCAGCACCGGTGTTCATTGGCAAAACCATGTCAAAGTTGAAATACTTGGTGACAAATTCTGCAAAGCGGGGGAATACGTCATTGTAGAATGCCCTCGAGCTCAAGGTGAGCGTGGATGCTTGTTCGACCAAGGCTTTGACGAGTTCTGGGTGGCAATGGCCCTGGTTCACGGCAGAATACGCGGAAAGGAAATCCAGATATTGTCGGCCCTCTGGATCCCATACAGTGGTTCCCAGCGCTCGAGCAAAGACAACCGGTAGAGGGTGGTAGTTGTGAGCGGCGTATTCATGCTCAGTGTGGATGGCTTCATCGGAAGTCGAGGCATGGTACCTTGATCGATCGGGGGTGCCAGCTGGGTGGAACGCCGGAGCCGTCGCTTTCAACTGAGTGCCAGTCGTCTGCCCATTTACCCTGGTGATGCCGTTGACGCCATCGCCGTTGGTTGCCGACGGTGCCATTATAGAGGATGAGGTGATTATGGTTCTTGATATATTCCGAATCGAAGTTGCGCTAATTGGACAACGCCTTCGTGTTATGCTGAAATGTCGAAAGTGGGCTCAATCTTGTGTAACTGGAGTGAAGTAATCGTCGTCTCTCCCATAGGAATGCCGGGGCAAAATTATTTAAATACCCTTGATCAATGAGGTCCACCACGTCAGGTCATGTGCAGAGATTTTCCACATGGAACTCGCCTTGTTGCTATACCCCTAAGTGCAGGTGTATCCCGAGTGGAGGGGAGCCGTGGGAGCTTAAGCGTCTGGAGCGGCTCACGAGTCTGACCCGCAATGACAGAGGGCGATTTCGAGTGGACAGGGTCGACGGGTGGTTGTCTGTGAAGCGTAATGAGATATGCAAGGGCACGAGAGGTGGCGGCACAGTGGGCGAGAGGCGAGGGGTTGTCGAGGGGCAAGTGGGCTAACCCAAGCCTGCCCAAGCTACCTGCGTGACCCTGTATGTAAGCTCAACTGCGGCTAAGCGCGGGATGTGTGCCCCCAGTCAAGCCTTTACTCCTCACTAGCACGTAGAAAGGACCGGAAACTCACCCGACCGTACCGCCTTGCACTGAGCAGCCACGTGACAACATTTTCCTGCTTCTGCAGATTTTCCCGTGGTCGATGCCTCGCTTGACCTGCCCAGGCCGCTGTTTGCCTACTGTAAGGGCGAATCTAAACACTTATGTACATACATAGGCTGTCCTTACAGTAAGGCTCTGGGCACGCGAGGCCCGCTTAGATGACCCCCAGAACCCTTGGGCTGCCTGGGCTGCCTGGGCTTCTCCCCTATAGCTTTAGGCCGCGGGACTTTTTGCCGATATCACGTACGAGGGCGATACTTAATAGGATAGTCTAATGAGACTTTTTCTCAACAATAGAAAGGAAATACAGATCATTTAGATAATTATGTGAATGAAGACTTGACTATAATTAAGTCAAATCCCCAGTAAATGCACTCGTGAACTCGAGCTACTACCTGCTTAGTTCTATAAAAGCAAAAAGGACACAAGTTTTAAGGTCCACCGCATTTCCCCCACCACTCCTCCATCTTATTTTCTCTTGCTGAGATCCCGCTCTTGTTGATTTGCAGCGCTGATCAGCGCCATATCGATCTCTGGGCCTTGGAAGTTCCTGCCTGTGACGAAGAATAGTACAATAATGAGGCCAAACAGGCCGACCAGAACAACACTGGACCAATTCATACTGGAGATTTGGATAGGGTCGAAACTGGGGAAACAGGTGAAAACCAAGATGCAAACGACCGCAATTTGCGAAAAGACGTTGCAAAACAAGCCGAGCTTTCCGAGATTTAAAGCCCGGTTTGGTAGGGTCGAGCGCCCGCGTGCGAGCAATATAGCCTGAGGGACCACATAGGTGATGTTCTATAGCTCGTCAGAAGAGGGAGTCTCTGCCCATGATCCAATTGAACCTTACCAGGTAAAGCACAGCCGAGGTAATAATAGAGTTGAAGGCTGCTGAGGACGCGATGAATAAGAGTCCATAAATCCAACAGAAGACCACAGAGAGCACGGTGGCTCTCACTGGGACTTTGGTCTTCGGGTGGAGATGCTTGAAGTAGTCTGAGAACGGCAGCCCGTTCTTGACATTGAGTCAGCATACAAGTATTCCTCGTCACACGAAGCGCATTCCTTACGTCTCGAGAAAATGCCCACGCCATGCGCCCACATGTAACCCACTGAGGCACGACACACACTGGACGCGATTCAGTCATAAGCTTGACTGTTCCGGGACAAAATCACTCACCAGTATAGATGACGGTGGTCCATGCCAACATGAACGTGGAAACCCCCTTACTTCCTGTAATTTGATAGAAGGCTTCGAGCGAGGGCAGAGCAGAATTGACAACGGCGTCTGTGTCAGCCACTGTGTACATCATTGCAACCATGAGCGGCATTGTGGTCAGGAATCCGATGAGAATCGTGGTATTCCTGCAAAATGGCTCAGCGTTGTGTCCGTCAGGATCACGGTCGTCACTCACATAGCTTCCGGGATTTGTCTTCCAGGTCTGTGCATCTCTTCTGCGATGTGGATCGGGCTGTCTGTTCCGACATACGCAAATCTGCCGATGTTAGACAGACTGGTGACTTCGCAAAAAGGGAACAAGAGCGCTGACTGACAATGCGTTACAAATCCCGAGAAACCATCCCAAACCATCCGGCCATCCTGATGTGCCTTGGTTGAGTTTTGTCACGGTGCTGCCAGGAACCACTTGTTTCTTCATCGCCAGAACAATGGTGAAACAAATAACAAAGCCGACAATCGACATGGTGAGGACGAACTGAGCGATGCGTGGCACTGCCTTGGGGAAGAGAACGACCGGTGCCGCTGGTGGAATTAGCCATGTCGCACACATCGTCATTTCTGTGTCTTACCTGTCATGCAGACGACGCCGACGTAGACTAACCATGTCTGCCAGGCATGCAGGACCAGGTCCGGGTACCAGAAACTGACCATGCCGATGATAGAAACGGCAGAGAGAGTGGCGCCAGAACAAGCAATGATCCACCATCCGAGTAAGGTCATCCACCCGATAACAAACGCAGCAAAGCGCCTGGTTTTCAGGGGTGCCAACACCCATACAAAATGATATTGTCCCTGTCCGGAAACTATCAGTATCGGTGTGGGCGGCAGGGACAACGACCGCTTACGCCTGACGAAGGGAAAGCCGACGCAATCTCCGAAAGGCCCAGCGTGATGAATCCTTGCACGAAGGTAGCTATCAAGCAACCAAAGATGACCACTGGGCGGCCACCATAGCTCAAGGAGATGGCGAAACTGCTCAGATAGGCAATCCAACTGTTTGTGATACTGTGGTGCGTCAGACCAAGTTCACAAAGGGGTATGCGATCGTACCCGAATCCGACAGCAATGGACGACAGGCGCGAGAAGGAGCGCGGCATCTCAGCCTGATGCCCTTGTGCCTCAGTGACGTTGTTCTCGACAATCTCCATGGCACCTATTTCAAGACTTGGTACAGGTTCAAGCCCTGTGGGTTTCGAGTGGTTCATTTTGGCAAGCGGCTCAGCCATTTTGCTCTGCGGCCCTCCCCAAGACTAAGAAGGTGTGAAAAGAAGATATGTGAACCTGTCCTGGACGCAGGCAATGGGCGAGGTCATGTTAAAAGGCATCGCTGATAGAACGGTATGCATAGGAGTGCAATCACATTTTCACTGTCGCTCCCACCTCTTTGGCATAACCTGGTCTGGTTTGAGTACAGAGGCACCTCGACTGTCGCGGCTAATACTCCGTTTTGAGACAAGCGTGCCATTCTGAAGAACCGCAGCGGGTCAGGAGTATCGGGCAATGGGCATATCATGTAGCCTTTCGTCCCATCCAATCACCATCGTCGGCAAGGTAGCTTGATCGTCCGTGTTCGGAACCTTACACCTCTTATCTCCCCGTTTGTCGTTACCTAAGAGCGTCCTATGAAAAATTCTGCCGTGATGAACTCGGATAGTCATCGGAATGAACATGGCAGCTCACTCGCTCTCATAGCTCAGCGGAAAGCGCAGGGATGGCGGAAGCCTTGGGAAAGGTCAGCCTCATTGATGGCAGGTGAACGACGGGATACAGGCGCGCCAGTGCCAGATCGAAAGACGGCTGGATCTTCCGCGCGTTGCACACGTGAATCCCCCCCAGCAAAACTGTCGTTCTGACTGTGGCCATATATACCCCTTTCATGGTTGACCAACCTTCCCTGCTTCCATCACAAGTACATTTTTGGGGCGACAGTCTATCCGTCCTTACTTGATATTTTCCCCAGAGAGATCGGACATGTCTTTGCTTATTTTGCTCCTGATAGTATTGTCGATATTCTTCTGCTGTCGATTCTACTTGCAGCATCCGAAACGAAGGGTTCCCATCTCGGTCACCAGTGCAAAGCAAAGACCTCCAGTGGCGGGCAACCTCACGGCCCTGGATTTCGGCAAGATCAAGCCTTACCAAGGAGACCCGACCCGAGATGTACCAGCATATTCACGCAGTTGGAAGGGCTCGCGCTATCTGATGACGATGGGCATACGCAAACTCGACGTCAATGACTGGCTGATCATCGACGACTTGTATCCATCCGAACATCGTGACAAAGTCGCACGTCTCCAGACGCCTGAGCGAGAAGTTGTCTTCCAGTATTTGGATGGTACTTACGAAGCTTGTCTAGAAGGGCTGGAGATCATCGTGCGGTATCTCACGACCAGATATCCACACGTTTTTGTTCTCGAAGGAGATTATGTCGTAAACAACCTTATGGGCGAACGATACCGAATTCAAGAGCCGATGGACAAGCACCCGCTGGAAGTGGCCTCGCTGCTAGTGTACGAAGACGTACATATCCTGCAGGAGGGATCAGACCAGCTCTATTCCCTGTCCGTGACACTCGATCATTTCATCCAAGCAGCTGAGCTAATTGTATGTAGGCGAGCATCAGCCATGTCTTTTCCTCCGGGTTGGACGGCGGAAGAACGAATCGGAATGCCCATTCGCGAATTGCATGCGCCCATTCCGATGTGGAAGGAAAAGTTGCAGGTTTCGATGGAACGGTGTGTAGAGTCGCATGTGCGTAGTAGGTCCCACGCCCGAATTCGCTGACATGGGTCACGCTTTTTGCAGGTATTTTGTCAACATGAAAGTTGGCGGAGGTGTTCAGCGCAACAACCTGTTCATGCAGCCGACGCACGAAAATTATCATCCGGGCCGCTTGGACGCGTATCCACCCTGTCATTCTATCAAGCAGGTCCATCTGAGGATGGAATTACAGAGCTTGATGCGCATGCCAAAGACACGAGCCCTCCTCTTCACCGTTCACCCATGGATCATCCCCGTGACGGACCTGGCCAACGAGCCAGACAAGCTCGAAATCTTATGGAGTCAGATACGCACCTACCCTGAGAACTTCGCCGAATACAAGCTACGACATCTATGGGGAGACGTCTTTGAAGAATTTGCGAAGACGGTATTGAACAAGGCCAGCCCGCACCCGCGAGATGAAGAAGGGGGAAACTCAAGTGCCCGTGCCCCTTCGAAACCGGCAATAGGTTTCTAGGTCATGCTTACATTGCGGTTTGCGGTGGGAGGTATTCTAGAGTGTATTCTTGATCTCACTCTCTGTACGAGGAGCAGGAGGTGTGCAGCACAGCACACCTCTTAATCTTGTTGTCCACCTTATCCTTCCGGAGATCCGATCTTTATGTCAAGATATTTTCTGAAAACGCTATGGGCAAGTCGCGAAAACCCCACTGTCAAGGCAACGTCACCAGAACTCAAAACAATGTGTCACGAAGATGAATACAATTCAAGAGACATATTTGTAGTTCTCCACGGCGTATCTCGGTGAGAGGCTAGAACACCACCGCTTTATCCTCGTATACTTGGGCATGTCGTATGTTTGTGAGCGCGCTAGATTTACCTACAATGGCAATTCATCCACCAGACATACCCTGGCCGCAGGCGATAGTAGTGGGGATGGCCGAGAAGGTTCGCTCAGGCAGAATTATGGCACAATCTTCGAAGGGGCTCATTAGATTGTCACAAGTGTGATTCCTGGTTTGGCTTACACACAAATCGCCAAGATGCAGACAGTAGTCCAGCGAGGCCCCAGACTGGCTTTTTAGCACATCTACCGCCTCTTGTTGTGAGAGGAGTCCATTCATGTGGCTAGAAGTCCTTTTCGACCTGGACCCAGGATAGGCACAGGTATCGTGGCACGTACGGTCGACAGCATATCAGTCATGATCATGACATAACTTTAGGCCTGAATGACCATTTGTTGTTGGCCATGAGGCCACGATCTTTCGAGATAGGCGCGGACAACAAGGGGCAACAATAATTCACCACGAAGGATTTTCCCCCAAATTAGTCAACGGCACGCCTTCCCTTCTAGCGTTCTACAGTCCTCCCACGTCAGGTGCGTTTGGGTCAAGGACGATTCGTGGATCCTTGAAATCCACCCACCCAAGCATTGGCTGCCACAGTGTGAATTAGAGAGACATCGAGAGGAGGGGTTCAGTCGGTTCAGAGTCCTTACGTCGCTACAAACAACGTGAGTAAAAGAATCAACCAGCCACGATGAGGGTCTGAGAGCAGCTACTAACCTTACGAAATACCCGAGAATTCGTTGGATCTCGAGGGGTAGAGTTTTGGCAACTTCCAAGGGAACCGCCTAGTCTAGCATGTTAGTTTGCGAACATAGTAGAAATCCGATGGCCAAGTACAACTCACCAAGTATTGATTTCTGTCCGTAGCAAATACAAACTCGGTTAGTTCTCAATTTCACAGATGTTCGCCCGGATGCGTTCGTCGTTGAACTTACTCTTCTTGCCTGGACACGGATGTGAGTAGACTGCTATCGTGAATAAAGGACTGCAGATATCGTACCTCAAATAGCCTCTGGTCATGAAGCAGCTGAAGAGGAGTCTCTCTTCGTCGTTGGTCGTGTTGGCACTGCCGCCGTGATAACAACTGGAAAGCATGATGAACCCATCGCCGGGGCTGAGCTCGGCGTACGCGACGAACTCTTCCTGGGGCGGTTGTTCTGTCGCTTCGAGATGGCTTCCAGGGATGAATCTGGTCGCGCCGTTGGCCTTTGTCGACTTTTTGCCCGCAACAAAGAAACCGATGCCGAGCTCGCGAGAGTTGGTGGCTTTGGGATACTCGTCCACCCGCTCACGGCTCGCATAGTGGATGTCGTCATCTCGGTGCAGGGGCTGATTGCTGCCGCCCGGTCGCACAGAGAAAGCAATGGTATTGTTTAGCTGGGGTCTCGAAATGTTGACCTCTGATCGGTTACCGTGCCATTTGTAAGCCTTTGTCGTGAGGAATTGGTCACAAACAGCCTGATAGACGGGATGATTGACCACCTTTTCCGCAAACAGGCGGGACTTGCCCACGAGACCAAAGGCTCGACGGGTAGTCGGTGGGAAAAACCCGTCGTTTGCAGCCCACGGCTTGTCCGCCTCCAGGGATGGACGTAAGTCACTCTCGATCTGCTGGACTTCTTCTGGGGTCAAAACATTGCGGACAAAGACACCGCCAGACTTCTTCAACGCCGTGACTACATCATCAGGATTGGCGTCCGCCTGGAACTCTGGGACCGGCAAACGCTGTCGAGGTGGCCATTCCTTTGAGTAACCGTCGACCAACCGTTGGTAGGGGATAGTGACATCGTCATACTCGACCGTAGGCGGCGGCTGTTGGGCGGCTCGGGTAATCGTGGTCGTGGCCATGTTGCGAGACCGAGTGTCACCGTAGACGAGGAAATGGTATTGATATCAAGCAGGCAAAGCAAGCTTCTGTGCTCATCGTTCATTGCTAGTTGGATTCCATGCTCCTTTTAGTACACGTACCCGCATCCGGAGCTGCCCCTAGCAAAGCCGAGCTCGGAATTGCCCTCAAACTATAACATTAGTGGGGTGCAGATTCCTGCTGTGGTTGTGGAAATCGATTCTCCTCTCTGCCCTTATCACGGCATAAGCGTCTAATTTGCCCAATTCGGCAGCTTGTTCCTGCAGAGTTGGGCCTGGCCAATAAGCGGAGATAGCGATATTCGCATCCGTGGGTCTCCGACTAGAGTGACGGACAGCAGAATCACTGGTCTCGCATAACAACATGGATATTTGACAGAGTCGCACTGTGACGCGAACCGTCGTCTTCTTCAAACCCTTGATCAATTACGCTTGGTCCAACATTTCAAGCTCCTCAATCCGGGCAGGCATCGTCAATATCATGACTGCACAATTCAAAGGTAAACACCTCAAAGCGAAGGATCACAGGACGCATGCTTAAAACGAAAAGGGTATGCCGTGGAATCAGCTTCCACCTGGGATAAACCCAAGGTTCTTGACATAGAGCCACCACCGTTCGGTCCCTTCGATGTCGACGTCAAGATCAGCTACTGCGGCGTTTGTGGCAGCGACCTTTTGACTGTCCAGGCAAACGAGGGCAACGACAATTGGGTGAGCGGAGCGCCTTGAGTTGGCCAGTCTTATACGTCCCCCTGCTGACTTAGAGACAGCCCGGAACTGCGTATCCCATCGTTGTCGGCCACGAGATCGTTGGCGAAGCGGTACGAGTGGGTGAGAAGGTATCCAAAATCCGACCGGGGCAGATCGTTGGTGTCGGAGTCCTCTCCTCCACGTGTGGCACATGTCGATTGTGCAATTCAGATCGTGAAAACTATTGTGTGCGTAAACAGGCCATCAAACGCGTAACAATGGGCATCCAGGGCTAATGCTTCGACAGTCCAGCCTGGTGGAGACGTACAACTCCAAATACTCGGACGGTTCCATCTCGCACGGTGGGTATGCAAATTACAAACGTATCCACGAAGACTTTGTCTTTGTTATTCCCGAAGGTCTCGAATTGACCACTGCGGCGCCTCTCCTCTGCGCCGGTCTTACGGTGTATGCTCCCTTGGAACAGGCCAAAGTCGGTCCAGCCCAGCGAGTCGGCGTCATTGGGATCGGTGGCCTCGGTCACTTTGCCATTTTATTTGCTCAGGCCATGGGTGCTACAGTGACAGCGATCTCGCATAGCGAGAACAAGCGAGCAGATTGCGAGAAGATGGGTGTCTCCAAATTCATCAATACCAGCGCGTCTGAGACGTGGGTCCAAGACAACGCAAAGAACCTGGACATTCTGATATCCACGACGTTTGCCGATGACTTTGCTCTGGAGAGCTACCTCGAGTTGCTGGACGTCGGTGGTAGGCTCGTAATATTGGGCTTGAGCGAGTCGAAACTGCCGAGGATCCCAGCGGGTCTATTGATCGGCTCGAATCTCACCATAGTCGGTTCGATGATTGGGAGTAAGACACAGATGGAGAGAATGCTGGCGCTGGCTGCCAAAATCGATATGAGGGCGTGGGTCGAGGTCATGCCAATGAGGGACTGCGGGAAGGCTCTGGAAAAGGTGGCCTCGGGAAAAGCACGATATCGTTGCGTCCTGGAGGCGGATCTGTGAATATTGTCCACCTCGACGGGACTTTTCAAAACAGCACCAAGCACCATTGCTCTGAATTCAGTTTCGCTTCCCAGGCCCACATGAAATTTTGTTTGCGATACATTTCTTCGCGCCACCAAGTTTGGAGAAAGCGCAAGGTTTCCTGGGCATTGTCGGCCCCATGAAAAAGTTTAGATTTGAGAAACCTTCGCACGAATTCTTGCTGTGACGGGAGTGGCGTTACAATACCAAGCATGAAAGGAGCAAACAGTGAACATTCCAGATCCTCGTTGTGACGCAGTATGGCCTCCAGACACTCGAGACCATAATCTCGTGTCTTTTGGACTTTGACATCTTCACCTTTGGAAGGGTCCACCGTGAGGTAGAGACAAATGAAACAAGCTTGGCGATAGGCGTCCACAAGCAGGCGTTCTACGCGCGAAGGATTACAGGCCTCCCAACTCTGGATAATGCCGGACAACTCCAGGCTTTCTGCAAAGTCGATGGGACTGAGACAGGCGAGCGACTCCTCGTTGCCTTTTGTTACAAACAAGTGTTTTGTACGTTGATGGAGTGCAATAATCCGGCTCAAGAGAACGATGAGATCGGCATTTGCTTGCGAGAGGAGACCCTGACGTAGGTTCTGTCTCGAGGGACTGAACGTGTCCGAGGTAAGCGGACAGACGTTCTCATTGAGGGTGATGGAAGCCAGGACGTCGTAGTAGCGATAGAGTTCCAGAGCAAAGCGGTGCATTTCCAAGTCGGCGAGTGCTGCATCCTGTCTCTGGGCCGGTTCGTCTTCACACTGGCACAGTCGACGTCCGATCTCGGCAGCGGCGAGGAGGTGTAAACGCCAATGCTGTCTTTTGCCTTGTCCGAGACTGTCCAGCTGCACCAAAAGCAGCGTGCTCACAAATGTTGGCAATAGGGTTGAGGCTGATGGAGATGCTGCTGAGATGTCTGCGCAAACATTCTTGACCCTCTCCGAGTGGCACTGGAGAGATTCCCCTTTGAGTGCCCAATACTTGCTCTCGACGGCGACGGCAGGCGCCTGAGACGATATGGTGTGAAGCTTGAGTAAATGTTGCGCCGAAATACTCAAGAGGG